ATGGCAATTATTGATTTATGGGAGCTATTTTACATATGATTGCTCATGGAGGCTGGCCTAAAGCATTGCATTAAGTACTGTGGGTCACAATGTTTCAAAGTGGCAGTAAGTATAGGTGATACATCTGGAAGTCTGGGGATGTGTGGCATCGGGCAGAGGAGTGGGTCATTCCCTCACGTTACTGGCTGACCACAGCATCCTGAGGCCCGACCCTGTTGTCTCAAGGTTGGTCGTGGTGACATGGCTTTTTCACCAGCTACCAGAATTAATTGCAGCCGTCATTGAATAATATCTGTTTAGCTAATGCAGGGCTGTGCTTGAGCACGTGTGTGGGCATTGGGCATAAAAGTATATTTGTGAAGTACATTATGGGAGAAATGCACAATAATATTATATTTACCGGCATATACTAAATTAATAAAATATATCACACTGCCATTACAACATGTAAATAAAAACAAAACATTAACTCCTGTGTAAATAATGAATACAAAATGAAGTCATTTATACGACGTAACCACTTATTTTCATTTACGAGTCCGCTAAAGGGACTGTGGATTTTGGAAATAAATACATAAATACATAATATCAACACTGGGAGTGTTCGGCATAGAGTTGGCAAGTATGATATAGCAAATGCATGTGCTTGAAAAGTTTATACTTTAAATATTTGACTATCATTGCACTAAAGCCTCGTCTTAAACAGTGCTTAAACACAGTGCACTTGTGAATGATGGAAAAGATGTACAAATCCAAACTCGTGTATTATTAAATAATAACCTCTCAACATGCGATAGCACCGTGAATCCAAAAAAGTGTATAAATGACTTTAAACAATAATATTAAATATATTCATTAAAATAAATTAACAAAGATAAGAAGAGTGCTATTATTCACAAGCAATGACATCCTCAGGGATGGGTAAGTGATAATTAAATATTTACAATTTCCTGTGCCTTTGACCTTGCAGTTTTCCTATCCAGCACTCCGGTAATCATTACCCGTGCATTGTCCTCAGTGCTGAATATTCCACCAGCGAGACGGGTGAGGATCAGATGTCTTAGCAATCACGGATGCCGCTTTCACAGGTGCCTGTTGCTGCTTCGTAGCAATTCCGGAAGCGCAGATAAACCCACAATCTCTCTCCAGGGTATCTCATTCCCTTTTTTATCCAATACATTTGAATAGCCGCCAACCTTCGTTAACAAAATTATTTGGCACATCCGTGATGGGTACTGCAATTTCCGACCATGTCTGTCCAGTGCTCGCTAGGCTGCATCGGCTTGCGGTTGCTAAACGAATACATTTAAGGTCGCGCACATTACGCACAAAGTGCTCGCCACAAATGAACCACAATATCTTGCAAATCTTGTCAAGGAGCATACACCATCACGCAGATTCTGGTCACCCTCGCAGTGGCTTTTTGCAAGCCATTGAACAAATAGGGCCAGTCCATCGCGTGCTTTCAGATGCGCTTCTGTGGCTGTCTGGAACCCTCTTCTGATATTAGGAGAGATGCAATTTTAAATCTAGGTTGAAAACTAATTTCTTTAGAACTGCTTTTTGTGTTAACTTTGTTTGTTGTCTTTCCCCTGCACCTCTGATTAGCACGGTTAGCTACATACGGTGCAAAAGAAGTTAAACATACATAAAGCAAGTAGAAATATAACACATTCCTGTGGAGGGAGCTGGTAGGAACGTTGGGTTGCTCGGTCAATGGCCAGGGTCAACAGCGGCGTGGTTTATTCCACAATATGCCCGACTGTGAGGGCGGGCACAAGCCGGCGTGAGTAGGTTAAACGTTGAGTTTTATAAGGGCACCACGGGGTGACCAGCCCCTCCCCACCCAGCCCCACCCCTCCCACCCCCACCAGCCCCACCCAGCCCCTCCCCACCCTTCCCACCCAGCCCCTCCCCACCCTCCCCACCCAGCCCCAGCCCACCCTCCCCACCCAGCCCCACCCTCTCCACCAGCCCCTCCCTCCCCACCCAGCCCCTCCCTGAACGATGGACGGACACATAATCCCCTGTGGGCTGGTGGAACCAGGTGGTTCCTACCAGTAAAACTAAATATGAGTGGAAATACATACAGGGCAACTGTACACGTTTAAACATAAGTGACATGTAGCTGATTTATGTTATCACTGACTGTTTTTATGAATTGTCAAGTGCTGGAATTAATTGTTTCTTGAATAAAAAATATTATAAATTATATAAATGAATATAAATAGAATAGTAGCAGTGCATTATTAATATTATTAAGATGAGATGTAAGGAAGGCAGTGTAATAGAGTTTTACGCTTATCAATACGTGTCACTTGTGGTTAGACTCATACCACACATATGCAGTTGTCAATATCAGGTCAATGTCTTTTTACATTTATTAGCCAAAAGGGCACATAGCCAGGCACATTGTGTGGTAAATTGCAATATTTATGGTATCCAAGATACATTCATTGCATTTTTTTGAGGAGGTCTATACGTGGAATATATTTCAAGCTATTATGCATACATGGACAATACAGAAGCTTGTGTTGCCTCCGAAACGTCGTGATTTTTATTTTATTTTTTATTTTACTTTTATTAATTTAAATGTTTTACCTACGTGACTTTACCGAAAAAACCTAAGAATATGAATACATGGACAAGATTGTTCAGCTGTTGTAGACAGATGTTTCGTGTTGAGGGACACTTATGACTCAGGAAAATAAGCAGTGACATTTTCAGGCAATGGTTCTCCGTTGAAGTTAAAAGAGTTCATCCGAAGGGTCATAAACTAAACCCTTTTTGCTTGTTTTTCTTTATCACAGACTACGCATTTAACTTTCAAATGACGTTGGCCATAAGTGTTTCTATGTATAATGTAAACACTGGTATTTTTTTTCACACACCAAGGATTCTCTCACGAGCAAATATAAAACCTATTTTGCAGGATGTCCTTTCCTTTCATGCCTACAAAATTGTTAACTTTGAAACAAATATAGGTGACAGCACAGCTCACAATCACCTGCTTCTAGATAAATAAACTCACGATAGTTCCTTCAATTCTTTTTAGAGACTTGCTTCGTGTGCAGATATAATAGAAAATCATTCCTTCACACTGGCACACAATTGCTTGCTCATATTCAGAGTGACGGGGTCGTTTTGGACCCACAGTTTATAAGAGAAACCATGCCATATAACGACGCTACTTTAATGTCAAGAATTCTACTTCACATTATTTAGGAGTCAAGAGGCGACTTGAACCAGTCCAGAAACTGGCAAAGCTTTGAACCGTGAGGCAGAAATGCTTTACCTGAAGATATACATGTTATCCAGTTGCAACCAAGCCACATATATGATTAAATAAGAGTGCAAATTATAATAATTTACCGTTTGTTGTTAATCCACTGCTGGATGATGGATTCCTCATACTGTGTTGCTTGCAGGGTGGTTGTTTAACCAAATTCCACACCACATTGTGTGTATTGGTCAAAGACGGGTACAGGACTAGTACAGATAGCTGTGGCCAGGAATCAAACTCGGGTAGCGATGCTCATAACACAGTACATGCTAACCACTGTGCCACCGTTCGATCTTAATTAGTGCTTATTGGTCTTAAAATTAGAATACTAAATTAGAGTGTTTAAATGCACATGACATTATTCATTATATTGGCTCCATATTTTGCATGTCATGGCTCGCCATGTTGGAATTTATACAGGACAGAGTGCACAATATTTCAATTTTTCAGTTTAAAAAAATAAATACGTTGTGTTTTGGTACACGTTATAGGAGCAGACTTGCAAAATCACTGGTACTCGTTGAGTTTTGTCAAATGAGTGACACAAAAAAGTTAAACAAAGCTTAAAAGCTAATTCTATTGCAAGCATGAGCCAGCCCCATCAGTCGACACAGATTTACCAGAGATTTGACAAAGCACACACTGTGGGTAGATTGTGCTTAGAACTGGCCAATTGGCCCAACTCAGGATTGGAAGGTTGTGGATTCAAATATTGGTCAGGGGTCGAGACAACGTATCATTTCACTACGGTCAACAAAATGACCATTGCTTTGTGACAACAGTGATTATACTGTGGTCCTGCCAGAGGAATATAGAATTTTCCATCCACCGGCTCAGGGCCACCACCAATCACCCGAGGCTTATTTGAGCAGGGAGACTCTTCAACATTGACGTTTGAATTTAGATGAGATCCAGATCCGATGCGACCACATATCCTCCTGCGTGTCTGATTGAAAGCTGTGTAATGCACTGTGGGTAACTGTTTTGCGTTGTGTGAGCAGGGGCCGTGTACATACTAATCAATGCTGACACCCAAATTTGTAGCAAAATATAATCGCTCTGACATTGCATGAACTGCTTTGATGTAGTGTGATTGTGTACAATAAAAGTTAATGCGGCTGTTTGTACATTGTTAATCAATTTAATGTTCAACATTTACAATGATAATGCACATGTCCAATGTGTTATAATGATATAAATGTAAAACATATATAACAAGATTTTTTATACTTTTGAAATGAATGTATATTTTTTGGGCAAGAATAGAATTGCAAGCATGCTTGGTCTAGCTGTATACGATCACTGTGAGAGATAGGGCATATTATTTTTTGATGCACGATTGTCATTTATTTCTACTCTAAAAGCATAGAGAAGCAGAGTATATTTGGACTGCATAATGTGTTCACTGATAAAAGGAATTGATGGTTAAAACATGTTTCAGATATTGTACAATCAGTACAATATAAAATTGTATATTTTTCAATGAAAGGTGCATACAAATTGACAATTATCGTGGCTTAAATGAATGTTTAAATTAATGTGTTTTTGCATTCTCTTTGTATGCACATTTGAATCATGTTTTTAAATTAATTACCAGTTTTATCACTTGAGTGGTGTATGGGGAATAACAAACACAGCTTCTCACTATTTTTGTATTTGTTGATTGGCCTCTGAAAACATTATTGACAGTTTCATTGTTTCTTCACACCTAGGATGCCTCAATAGCTCACAGATTTCACCTGATGAGAGAGAAGCACCCAGAGAAATTCAACAGCCGGTAAGATCACACACATCCTCTAGGGTCCTCATTCAAACAGTCATCGTTATGGTCTAGCCAGGGTGTCATTAAAGTCATTTCAAGAGCTGTGAATATGTATATTAACATTTGTTATATATTTTGATGTCGAAACATTTTTTAAAAGACATGCTTACGAGATTAATTTTATATAACCATGACAACATTTCTCGATTTTTCTGTGTGTACCATAATATTTATAACTTACATTTTTTTGGTAATCCACTGCTGGATGAAGGCCTACCCATGCCATGTTGTTCATGGGTGTTATTTGACCATACTTCACCACACTAGTCATTGCAGGTTATTTCATAACCAGTTCCAATATCACCTCACTATTAGCTCTGGCCAGGAATCAAACTCAGATCTCTGAGTTCATAGAGCAGTGTGCTAACCACTATGCCACCATTCCACTCCATGAGCGTGCAAATATTCCATACAGTTGAATTTGGATAGCAGGGATCGCTACTTATTTATAGACAAAGAAACGACTATACTGGTTCATCTTCCAGATACACCTATTTTTAAATTATGATCCTGTATCCATTTACTTTGAAGAAGCAAGGACATGTTGTTTAACGCATCTAACGTTATATAGTAATTTATTCCAAAGTTAATGGGAAAGTGGTTACAATTTTTTATTTTCAGTAGCTTACTTAGTAATTACTATTGATAATTCCTTTTTGTATTTATCACCTTCCAAGCGCTTGTCTAAATTTAACACGCCTGCTTTTGCATGCATACATTGGCTGGTACTGTACGCATAACAACTGTGGCCATCTTGCCAGTAGAGCTTCACATAGTGTGTATGAGCCATTCTTTTTAAGGTTTGAAAGTGGTTGCGAGAAGACCTGTGTATTCGTCACTTTATAATAAAACAGCATTTCATGAAAGTGCGTTTCATGGCTTGAAGTTTGGAAAGTTTAAACAATGTTGTGGCAATGTATTTAGTAAAACAAAAACAGTTGGTTTAGCAATTTGAATGACTTAAACAAAAAAACTGCAAATCAGGTGAAACGTGTTTTACTTTTGTGATTCGCTTTTTATGCCCCACCAAAATAATGTATCGTCATCAGAAGCAATACGGCTCGCCAGAATATAGAATGTTTATTTCACATTTTGACTTCAAACTTTCGTGACTGCAGGAATTAATATTCTTCGGTTCGATCGTAACACAAGCGGACGACTGCTTGTGTTGCTTGCTACAGCAGCCCTTTTGCCCACTTCAGCAATTGTTTCTTGCTCTGGTTGTCCCACCTGATGGCGGGCGCTTTTGTTGCACCCGAAACGTCGTGATTTTATTTTATTTGATACCTACGTGACTTTACCGAAAGAACCAAAGAGTATGGATCCCTGCAGTCACGAAAACTTCAAATCTAGATTAGTCACTTTATTTTTATTTTTTCTATCTACGTAACTTTACCAAAAGAACCAAAGACTATGTTTCTTTAACATGTTTTCATTGTTATGTAAGCCTTATTAGCAATCATTGTAAATATACTTAAACCACTTACTGGCCTCAAATACATTAAAACACCAAGTTGTGATCAAGACCCTAAGTTATCCGTTGAAAGGCTAATTTCTCTGCTCCAGCAGCTGCCCCAGCAGACCCACCTCTCTCTCTGCCCCCCCCTCCGTCTATTCAAGGCCTCGACACAGAGGCATTGGGTCTCTGTGTGTCTATGTTGTGTGTCTCTCTGTGTGTGTCTATGTTGTGTGTCTCTCTCTGTGTGTGTCTGTGTTGTGTGTCTCTCTCTGTGTGTGTCTGTGTTGTGTGTCTCTCTCTGTGTGTGTCTGTGTTGTGTGTCTCTCTCTGTGTGTGTCTGTGTTGTGTGTCTCTCTCTGTGTGTCTGTTGTGTGTCTCTCTGTGTGTGTCTCTGTGTTGTCTCTCTCTCGGTTTGTGTGTCTGTCTCCGTGTCTGTGTTTTGTCTCTCTCTCAAATGTAGTTCTACCTGATGACGGTTACTTGTGTTGCAATCGAAACCTCGTACTCTATGATTTTATTAATTTTATTTCTACGTGACTTTACCGAAATAACCAAAGAGTACAGATATTTATACTTTTCTTAAATGCTATGCACATTACGTTTTTTAAGTTCACACCAGTTACAAAATCAGACATATATACAAAAAAATATTGCACCTACATTCTATTCTGGGGGATATATATTTTTTCAGAGAATCTAGTCATGAAACTGGTAAATAATGGCATCTTAAATGCCACAGGACTCTTTATTTTAACACGCACTGTCACACAGGCGAGAGAGAACGGAACGTGATCGAAGCACAACCGTTGGATCATCATGCAGCTGCAAGGCATGACTGGGAAAGCCAGTGAGAGTAATCAAACCAACTTAACCTCTGAAGCTAAGTGTACGTTGTTGGCCGCCCATGGCTCAGCTGTCATGCTCCCATCTACAACACTTTGGGTGTTTGTAGCAGTTGATAGCTAGAATGCCGATAAGCTCTCATGAAATGTATTTGTATCTCCCCATTCAGCAGACTGCCCATATTGTTGTTCTTTAATACCTGTTAAGATATAGGGTTGAACAAACATGTTCAGTTTAACACGTAGGCTTTCGCGACCAATGTTATTCATAATCAACGTTTTTGGGTTTAGATCGCGTTATTTATAAATGTGTCGGGTGGTGGAGGGTTACGACACATTTATAAATAACGCGATCTAAACCCAAAAACGTTGATTATGAAAAACATGTTCAACTTGAAAAGTTACAGTTTTCTATTTCATATATGTTCTTACCGTGTATCAGTTTACCCTCCAATAACTTTTGTGGACTCAAGAAAAAAGTGCACAACAGTTACAGGCTTTTGCAACTTCTAATATAGAAGATAGAGAATTATAAATTAACTTGGTGATATTTATGCATGTCAGAGGTTCTCCAAGTTAAATATAAAAGTGTCTCATAAAAGCTGAAATCTAGATGTAAATGCATAGTATTGCAATTCCATGACCCTCTCCCTGTCAGGTATATTGATATTGTAAGGTGTTCTCTAAGCTGGTGAGCTCTTAAAAAAACTATAAAAAATCCACCACTGACTACAAATAGTGTATTTCATGCACACCTCATAACTGTATGCTGGATAGCAGACAGAAGCGTATGGCTGCAAGCAAATATGCCGTGGTGGTGCAAGTTTCACATTAATAATGAATTACTGCAGGGATATTTTCATGAGGACCTTAAAAAATGGAAATAAATGACACATTTTTAAATGTACTCAAGGTAATTTATTGTGATGTATCTTTCAGGAAAATTGAAATGAATTAAAACACAATTATTGACTAATATCTCAATTCAACCTTTGATAAATAAAGTAAAATGTAGTATATTTGTCGAATTATGAAGATGGATCAACCTATAACATATATAAACATTCCCAATTAGCATAAGCAAGCAGAATGTTCAGTTCACAAAGTGTAGAAAATATATTCTGTATTTAAAAAAATGATGTGTTTCTCGAGGCCCGTAGACCCGTCAAGAGTGAGAGAATCGCTTTACTAACAGTGTGTTCCTTTCCACCAATGCTTCTCAAAATAGAACAAAGAATCCTGCAGTTCCCTGACAGTGCCAGTCTGATGTTTCACATTGGTTTTCCCTCTGGTGAGGAAGCTTCCATTTCAGACGACTAAATTCCCTATCGTAGTGGGCGATGTGAAAGAAAAAAAAATCCACCACGACATTTTACGTGGTATTAAGCTGGTGTGTTACAATAGGTGTGAATTGACTAACACGACCTCGAATAACAGATTAGAAGTGCTTTAAAAATGTTTAACTGATATGTACATTTCAGCATTGAAATACTCACTTCCTTTTCATATCTGTTACTGTAATTACATTTTTCTGAATGTTTTTTTTCTCAAGAAGCCCATCAATGCTTATTTAAAACTGCATTCGAAGTTGTGTTAGAAACCTAAATTATAGGAATTAAAATATAAACAGGCCCAAATTTTGCTTAGACAGGCAACAGGGGTATATGTTGGCCTCATATGCCTGCATGTTTTCAAAGTGTCACGTAGCAAGCCAATAGAAATACACATGTGCTTTTAATGTTTGAGGTGGTATGTTGGCATTAGAAGAGATGTGCACATTATATAACAACAAATAGAAAGTGTGCCCCAGAGTTCTTCAATGCTCATTCTGAATGTGAGAATATTTATTTAAATCAAGGTAAGGTTTTGCTGGGTTTGTGTTGCTGTGGGGCTTGGGACATGTAAATAGAGTGACTCGTCCCTAATTGCTGTGATGAGAGAACACGTTGTTCTGACATTGTAGGGCAATAGGGCTTTCACAAGCATCTCTCGGCTGTCTTTCTTAAAAAAATATTATGCCAGCACGTCACCAAGACGTACAGCAGCTATATAATAATGTGGTTATCATGCAATAATCGCACTATAATGAACAGAAGTGGTAAAAGTTCAGTGGCTATAACATCTCAACAAAAGAGTGAAAAAAAATCACATTATGCTGATGAACACTTAGAAGCATGGACACTTATTAAGGCTCTGCTTCATGCCGTGGACAATGTGAAACTTCCACCATTTGCTCAGGGTGACTGATATAGATTAGCGCCACTGAACACTCGCTTGAGCAAAGAGCCAATATGACTTGTGAAGAACAGCTCGTGTTAACAGAATATATACTTCCACATTAGTGCCTGTGTGACCTAAGCAGCTGTGGATGCCACGATCCTCTCCTTGGTAATCTGGGTACAAGGGGTTGTTTTATATGACAGTTGCTAAGCAAAGTATCCACGTTGGTAAAATGTGAGATAATTAATTAAACTGTAAGGAAATAAGTGTTCTTCAAAGCACCATTGTGAACTATTGCCATACATTTACATGGCTATCTGGTACAGAAAATCAGGCTGTTGCCCTCACTGTTGTCCGCAGAGCTTGTTGACATATTTCTGTGCGTATGTGAATGGTAGCACCGCCTGCAAGTGGAGTTTCTATTGGTACTCTAATTTCCTCCCACATGCAACAAAACAGTTTATTTGCCAAGCATCACCAACATAGCCCTCCTGAAAATAAGAGTCTTTGGGCTCAGTGAGGTTTTCCTGAACAATTAACATTCAAGATCGTGATCCACGGTCAGTCCACTGCGGGCTGCAGGCCTCCCCAGGCTTCTGCCATCTCTCACAACCCTGGGATCGTGTAGAACAAAGTCAATCCACCGAGCAACTGCACACGAGCTGATTTCATTGCTCTGTCTCCCCCATTGGATGTCTTCTCCAAAGTGGTTCCTTCCATGTCTGCCACTCCATCATTGTTCTTTGACCATCGTCTCTTTGAGTGACATATCATGTTCGAGCACGCGTACTTTTTTTTTTTAGCAGTTTGAATGATGTCATTCATCTAGGGTTCTAGGCGTATTCTCTAATCCAGTCAAATTGATTCTGCGAACAATAATAGTTAAATTTATAATTCAGCCTCTGAAGATGTTTTTTACAGAGGTGTTACGGCTGAATCTTCTTACTTTACATGTTTAGAACATTCGAGTAAATTATATGATGCATATCGCACTGACACCCCACCCAATATTTTGTCTATTTCACTGGTCAACAAAAAAAAACTTTTTTTTCTGGCCTGGACTTTTGCAGCTGTTTTAGACTAATTTCAGGGCGCTGATTCCAAATCTGATCTCAGATTTGCTCTATCACATCTCATTTTTATGCTATCGGCATACCCCATTTTCATTGATTTTACCCGAAATTAACTCTGTCACTTATGATTGCAAGTTGTTGCGAGTCAGTGACTGCTTTAGTGTTAAAATATGGTGCTGTATTTTTAGGATAGTGTGTTTATAATATCATTTTATGTAGATATCCACATTTATTTAATATTTTTCTTCTGCAATGTTTATTTTTGGAATCAGCACCCCAAATTGACCTTAAACCCGTTGGAATACCTTATGCCAGAAAAAGTGTGTTGACCAGTGTTTTCATTGTTGCATGAGTGGTTAAATCTGCTTCTGTCAAAATCGACTGGAGAGATTTTGTTTACATTCAGCCCGTGTTGTCAGGCTTGGCTTTATTCCATTCATGATGCATTCACAGTCCCCAATGCTAAGTGCTCACACATCAAGGAGCATGCTGCTGAGTCCATTTATAAAGTAAAACAGTAATTAATCACACCTTCCAAAGCAGTTTCTGTGACTGACCGTGTTAGGCTTAATATAAGATCAGCCAACTCATATTCCACTCAATAAAATTCTGGGTCTTGGTACATTTATTTACACAATTACGCCTCTGTTAAGTATATTTTATGGAAGTGTAATGCCAAAACTTGTTATAAGTGCTGTGCTGTCCCCTGCAGTTCCTAAAAAAAACCATGACCGTTTTTGAGCATATTTCTTAGAGATGGCAAAGATGTGGGGAAACCCTCAACCAGCAGTGGATTGATGGATTGATCATGGCTGTTGATAATCATGATGACCATGATATTGTATAATACACTATCCAGTAATATATCGAACCCGGCAACTCGAGTTCGATTCCCGCTCACGGCCACCACCGGTGACGATTATTTCAACCGGTTCTGGGCCTCCCCTAGGTTGACTCAGCCTCAAACGAGTAACTGGTGTGGTGTGTGAACATCTCCACTGGGGGGACAAAGGCGGCCGGGCGTGGTGCTGGCCACCCACCCCCTCGTGTGCCGTGCCGGCCTTCATAGGCGCTCGCTAACAGCACTTGCCCCCTACAGTCTCACAGGCTACACGGGGGAGCTTTGTCTTTATCTTTGTGTGTGTGTGGGGGGGGGGGGGGGCAGCGACTGCGTAGCGATTCGTGCGCTGCGTTACGAACCCGGCGACCCGAGTTCGATTCCCGCTCACGGCCACCACCGGTGACGATTATTTGAACCGGTCCTGGACCTCCCCTAGGTCGACTCGGCCTTGTGTTTTTAAAGAGACATTTCCAAATAACAGTTTTGAAAGGATATGTTTTCAGACAAATACGGACACATTTAGTGCATGAAAAAATACCAATGCAACATTGAATTTAGGCATACATTGGGTTGTCATGCAATAACGGATGATGTGTATACTTCATATTATATTGATGATAATATTATTTACATGCTTCTTTATACATATTAAATGTCTACAAGGCATATTTATAATGGTTTGCCAGTGCCTAACTGGCCCGTGTTATACTGATGGCTGATGTATGTTGTGCTTTGTTCGGGTTAGGTTTACAAAAAATGGTAAAATAAAAAAGACGTACAGCAAACAAGAAGCTTCAATTGAGCCGTACCCAATGGTAATTAGTGAGTTTGCTTTGTCCGAAACGATAATATTGATTTAAACAATATCAATGCAATGAATACATTACACTACAATTTGGAGATGTCTTAGGGATGGTAACTGCATCTGAAGACGCTGTACAAAACAATGTGCCGTACAAATGGAGTTGTTTCATATGTGTATAAAGCGTATGTTTAGCTTTTCAGTAACATTGATTTAAAATAATTTTCATGATTTTCACATTTTCTTCCGGAATACAGGATGAAGAACAAGCTGTGGTACTTTGAATTTGGGACATCAGAGACGCTGTTTGCTACCTGCAAGAAGCTCTACGAGTTCATGGAGGTGGAGGTGAGAATGGGATTTGTGACATCGACATCATCATCATACGTTTGCTGAAAATGAACACACACCAGTCATGCGCGACATGAGGATTGCACGCAGTTCTACTGCATAGGAGAGACGCAATTGAGATCAGTGTTTGTCATTGCTCCGTGTAAGGCGCTAAGCTCTACAACAATATCCTGCCTGTGCGTAGACAGACTGGTTAGTTTACATAGTGTCGTTCATGGAAATTGCATTATATTGTGTCGGTCATGCAAATTGCAATTGCTGAGGAAACACAGACAAGCAGGAAAGCAGCCCGGCAAGTGGTCAGCCGGTGCCAACAATTGTCTAAGCTCTGCAGTCTTCTATGTATGAAGATGTTTTTAACCAATTAATGAGTGTTTTTTATAACAGTAATTTACTTACTTTTTAGGAAAGTCGCAGCATTCTTCTTTTTTTAGGAAGGTTCCTGGATTGAGATTTTTAAAGTGTTTTCAACAAATTATTGAGTGGTTATACATGCGGGAGGAAACTGGAGCACCCGGAGAAAACCCATGTGTGCAAGGGGGGGAAACATTACCTCCCCGTGCAGATGGAAACGGATGGAGGTTTGTCCGTTTGCCGTACTGCCTTCTCCTGGCAAGCTAGGATATGACACCTCGACGCCTATGGGAAAGGAATTTCACGAGATTTTTGTGATCCACCAGCCATCAACAGTGCTGGATTACAGGCCACCTGGCAGCACAGCCACCACCAGACAGTGTTCTCCATCACATTGCCTCTCTGTGAGAAATAACCTTAGAGCTCATCGGATTCAAATTTCGATTTAAAGCTTTCGTGACTGCAGGGATTCATATTCTTGGTTCTTTCGGTAAAGTCACGTAGAAGGGTTTTTTCTTAACGTTAATAAAAAAAGGCCACTTTAAAAAAAGAATCTTGTTGTGGTTTTCACACCTGATGACGATTGCCTGTGTTGCAATCGAAACGTCGTGATAATTTGATTGTTTTATTTTATTATTTTATTATTTCCCTTCTACGTGACTTTACCGAAAGAACCAAGAATAGGAATACTCATCGGATTCCTTCAGTATAAATAAAGATTTTGATTCTCATTATTATTTGTGTTCCGTGCTTGACGGCCATGACAGGACAAACAAAAAAAACCGTCCAGTGTTAGGCAGAAGATGGCGACATTGTATGAATACCATTTCATATGTGGTGCAGGGCAGTCAACGAACATTGGTAACTCCCCATGTCCGTTTGAGCAATGATACACATTTGGATTTTATTTTTGCGTGGCTCCCCTTAAAGTCGTCATTTGTTTTTCGAAGAAGCAGAACAAGAAATGTGTTAGACGTTCGATATGAAGTGAACTTGGGAGCAACGCTCGGTGTACTATCTGAAGTGTGCTTGTATCACGAGTTGCCCATCACCTTCCACTCCATCAGTGTGAAGTAAGGATGTGTTCCTAGGATCAGAACTGTGCTCATATCCATCTTCTATTTTAATACAATTTCAAATGGGCAAGGGAAGTTTTTTTTCCATCAGGGATTGATAAACATTGTCCACGCACCAACAGGTACACATGTATAAAATATGACTATTTTTTCCAGGCTGCTCTGTATCCTTAGGGCCAGCAATTAGGGTCACTTTATAATCATGTGTGAGCTCGTTGAGACAAGTCGTATTTTCAGGGAAAAGTTTCAAAGCAAATTTAGTACCGCGAACCACATGTTTTGCAGCACAAATGTGGTTTGGAATGAACAAAACAACATGCAAGTTTGTATGTTATGTTAAACTAATAGAGTAATAAAACATAATTTAAATACAAACATACTACAGATTATGCACAAAGGGAATAACGATGACTATAAGTCATAAAATGTAATCCTGTAATTCAATTTAAATGCAATATAATTGGGGTAATTACGATTGGTTTTCTACATGAGTAGCTTTTAAAACATTCAGTTCGGATGGCCAAATAGATATTCGATTTGTGAAATATAATCTGACTGAGATGGTACAATAAAAAAGTGAAGTGCCAACACAATATTATTCCGTATAACTGAAGCATTATACATGCAACACAAGGCACATTTTTTATCGCATTAAGGACTTAGATTTAGCGTGAAAGTGGCAAACACTTTGTCTGGCCAATTGAAGAAACTGTTTTCTCTTGTGACTCAGGTGCACATCACATTGAAGACTCATTTCTTTAGAACTGCTTTTAGCGTCTAGTTTGTTGTCCTTCCCCTGCACCTCCGATTAGCACGGTTGGCTACGTATGGTGCAAAAGAAGTTTGACGTACGTACGTCAACATACATGCATACAGCAGTGGGCCGTGCCATTGACCTGGGTGGCTCCTACCTCCGTGCCTTCTCTAACACGGAGCAATTGACTGCTTTTGCTTGAATTCACAAATAAAAACTGGGCCTAGAAATAGCATGAATGTGACTGTCATGAATGTCCTCATAAATAGGGGTCTAAATAATTAAGGTCAATTTTTCTCGTTATCAATTCAGTAAAGTAAATGGGGAAAAAATCGAACGCAAGGCACTTAATAGGAATCCTCATGAGATTAATTGATTGGTTGCCCATGCGTTTTTCTCCCTCCAACAGTGTATTTATGCATGCGGTACAGTGTTAAGCAACTCTGCAAGGAAAAGCCATGTAATATCGCACTTAATATGAAGAGTGAAGGGGAGCTCCGCAGCTGAGCTTGCGTTTTACTCCCGCAATTTGGACACAATGATTTTTACATTCTCTAAATGCATATGAAGTCAATGTGTGTGTGTCGGTAAAATCGATGGTTAAAAACTAAGTTATTTTGTAAATACGTGGGGTTTTTTCATGGGGTTTCGATGGTGGCAGAGAGGTAGGGGTGACATTTAGAGTGATATGCAAGAAAAATATTGCTTATATTAGTTGCCGATGAAAGTAAGAGAAGCACGGCTATTGAGCAAGTAGAACTTGTGATGAAGACTTAACCTGCCTCCACCTTCGTCGTCGTGGCTAAAGAAATGTCTTCACCACAGCTCAACTGAGATGGCGCTTTCAGCCATTGCCGCATTAACTTCATCTCTTTGGCTGAGTACGCTTGTCTTTTCGGAGCTTGAGTGCAACCAAATTTAAGTGTGAACACCAACACATTAAAATTTTGCAAGTTACATCTAATCTAAGCGGTGTAAAGTAAAGAAGTAACGATGCTGTTACCATCACACAGTGCATGGGAAGAGCCTAGTAAAGTGGAAAGCGCATTTTCATTTTATATCACAGGGCACTTAAACCCAAGATCACGTAGTTGTTGGCCCCATTCCCTCAAATGAACGTTGGCCCCAAGACATCCAGCCACCTTGTCACTTTTAGTAATTTAGTTTCTTAAATTAAACTTTTAAGGTTGAAAAATTGCCACAGCTGGATGTAAGATCAAAGGCTTCTAGGCCTGGCTGACTCTTGCCTATTTTTTGCATTCCTTCGTAAGAATAATGAGCGCGTAGAGAGAGCAGCAGATACGAAAAGCATGCCCGGGCACACAGCTGGGAGGCTGCTGCTGCTGCTGACTGAATATTACTGTATTTTTAAAAATGACAGAACACAAGCCAGGACCAAAAAAAAGTAGGTTGACTGCCAACATTTAACAAGTTGAATGAACATCCGGGTAAACACTATCCTTTATAGTTTTTTTTTTACAAGTTTGGGTATGTTTGTTGCTTAAATTCTAGGAGAAAGCTGTGAAGGGTGAATATATTATCCGTAACAATATAATAGGAGACTATTATACCTACAGAGTTTCTTTGATCTCAGACATTTAAACGTAATAAAATTTTGTGTATTTGCACAGGGTGTTGTATTTTTGGTGGATCGAGAACGATTTAAAATGTCACGTGGACACCGTCCTTGTTGAAGGTTGAAGGTGTGACCTGACATCTTGTCATACATTTTGCCAATCACCAGTGGGATTTTGTACGTAACCATTTTCAAAGGGGAACTGAAGCCTTAGTAAACCAGGTTAATGCGTAATGTTATGTATGCAGAGGAAGGCAGGTATATTTACATTTACTGCAGTGCATAACCATGTGCTATGGCATTGTTAGAAAAAGAGTAACGATTTCAAGGCATGCTGACGGGTAGCAACAAGCAATCCTGGCCATTGTGCATTAGTTTAAGTACCACGTGATTGATGGCAAGGTCACAGGGTGAGGACAAAACTATATTCTTATGCGTTTTTCTGAGGAGGACCAAATGTGTTTAGATATGTAAGCCATAAAATCGGGCACACTTACATAATGCAGTACAATAATGAAAGGCAGTATATTACATTTGTGTCCACAATGTTTTTTTTTCTTTTAACATGCCCGCTAAAGTGCCATAACCACGTTGCGATAGGGCCAGTAAGCACTGGTCAACCAGCATCTGTCTGTGCAGACATGGCACTTGCTGTGTTGCAGAACCATCTACTCAAAAAACGGGCCGTACCCATGATGGCACCACTTAGTTTAGGGCGATTATGACCAAAGCTAATTCAGGAACGCTTTGTTATTTGCTTGACCTTGCCGATGCACCATGTGAGGGGCACTCCGCTAAAGTATACGATCGAAAGAGTGTTGCTTTAGTAGATTTCTCACCCATCTGTACGGCATTTTAGAGGTTCAACGGTGGGTTCCTCATTCTAGATGTGAAATACTCGAGAAAGAAACTGGTAAAGCTTCTCGACATGGGACACTAACTTCATAAAATAAAGTCTTGAGACACACAGAAGCTTTCATAGATAAATTAATAATGATCACTGTCATAAAGTGTCTTGTTGCTTGATATAATGCATGGGAATTACACCCAGTGTTTATTATCGAGGTAATTACTTTATAGAATAAGTTACGCAATGGAATACTTTTTGTTCGAAGATGTTAGCACGCGGGCTGATCAATGTGACACACGTCCATTTTTTTTCCTCAGCTGCTTCTGCACATTTCTCACATTTCGTACAATGCAACACTTTTTCTTTGAACAGTGAATGTTACGTTTCTTGATGGCTCAAGGCCTGGGAAAAAATAACCCAACATAGTTATTCATATTTTGGGAAATGTTAACATTAATTGAAAATAAATAACTGAAACATTACATGCATGTCCTGATAAACAGTGAGTCCCATATGCAAAATTACAATATAACATCGTGGTGTGTTTAGAAAAGGAGAGCCTTGTCGATGAAAAAAAAATAGCATTTCTGAAGCCACGTCTATGCATATAGCTCACAAACAAACGCTTAATTGACATGTTACATCATTAAACACGAGTGCAAACATGAAAACAGCTTTGGATTGAGACGAGGCTCAAAAGAAAGCTGTTTCTGGTGTGGACCAATCAGTTTCAAAGACAATGCATTTATTATCAGAGTGTTTTTTGTTTGCATTTTGACCACAAGCATGTCTGACATGATTCTTTGTAAAAGGTTTTAGTTTTGTGTTTTAACCACTTAACACCTGTTTTGTGGCCAGATAGAAGGGGAAAAAACCTATTTTCAGCTTTGGATTGTTGATCAACTGAATGGGGAAAAAGCCTGTAAAGAGGATTTTGTTTCTTAAAAGCATATTAACATTCCAGAAACATGGGGAAACTCAAGAGTGATCTTTTATTCCCAGCTGATTTATTTCATTTCAATGAACATCCATTTTAGTTTTTTATATAAATACTGAGCTGGGTACTTAACGGGGCTGACGTGGTGACAGCATTGAGGAGAGCGGATATTGTGCAGCAGATATAAATGCGCCATGATACAAACATTTTCATTATAGACTGAAATAAAATGCAACTGCCACTGTGCTCATATGCAAATAATTAATACTGGTAGGAACCTCCTGGTTACACCAGCCCACAGGGGATTATTGTGTCCATCCGTCGTGCAGGGAAGGGCTGGGTGGGGAGGGAGGGGCTGGGTGGGGAGGGTGGGGAGGGGCTAAGTGGGGAGGGTGGGGCTGGGTGGGGAGGGTGGGGAGGGGCTGGGTGGGGGGTGGGAGGGGTGGGGCTAGGTGGGGAGGGGCTGATCACCCCGTGGTGCCCTTCTAAAACTCAACGTTTAACCTACTCACGCCGGCTTGTGCCCGCCCTCACAGTCGGGCCCTATTTGCGGAATACACCACGCCGCCGTTGACCCTGGCCATTGACCGAGCAACCCAACGTTCCTACCAGCTCCCTCCGCAGGAATGTGTTTTATTCTGGCTGCCCTTGTTTACGGCAATTATAGTGGAGCAATCACGAGTTTTTCAAAGGAAAATAAATGGATTTAAAGGCTTGATTGGTGTGGAAAATTCTTTTTTTGCAGGTCAACATTTATTTGTCGTCCAACATGCGCCTTTCGGCTTTGCACGCTCACCTACTATGTAAATGTTGTGATTCCCTTTCAGATGCGACTAGAGTGGTGTTCTTTATTGCACGGCCTGCGGGCATCTGGCAGACAATGGTGGCCTTTAGTGAGACTCCCGAAAATACACACATGTGAAAAAACGTCCATAATGCTGTCAAACTCAATGGTTTCAAATGTGCGACGGCCCTCACACTATCTGCGAAAGTGCCCCCCCCCCTCTGAAACTTAGTGAAGAACACTGGACTAGAGCGTTGACCAAGGATTTGTATGCCACGCATCCCCTTGTGCCAGTGTGACGGCGTGCAGCTGGATCTGGCCAACAGTTCTCTGGAGGGCATCACAGTGCTGAACATTCCGAGCATGCACGGCGGCTCCAACCTCTGGGGGGAGACCAACACTCGACGGGTCAGCCGACGCAGCAGCATGCGGAGGAGTGGCCGAGAGAAGGTTCAAGCCACCATTGCCGACCAGCGCGAACTCAAGTTCTGCCAGCAAGGTCATTGCAATCACTCGTGTGCACTCAACACAAGATCCCCCGTATAGGCAAAACAGACTTTTGGCTCAAGTGGTGTTCGCAAGCACCTATGAATTTCGATTTAAAGCTTTCGTGACTGCAGGGATTCATCTTCTTGGTTCTTTTGGTAAAGTCACGACAGAGACAAAGTCATTCAGACTCTGTCTTCTCGACAGACCTGTTCTTCACCTGAGGACGGCTGCTTGCGTTGTGGCCGAAACGTCGTGAGAATTATTTATAATGTTTTATTTATTTATTTTATTATTTCCCTTCTACGTGACTTTACCGAAAGAACCAAGAAGATGAATCCCTGCAGTCACGAAAGCTTTAAATCGAAATTTATGGAATTATTATTTAGGGATGTACATCCATCGTGTCGGCAGCAAGTGGTGTTCGCAAGCGCCTTTGAAGTCCGGCATGGGACACATGAGGGGGTGGATGGCCAGCACCATGCCCGGCTGCCTTTGTCTCCTTAGTGGCGATGTTTGCACACTGTGCTAGGTACTAATTTTGAGGCTGAGTTAACCTAGGAGAGGCCCAGAACCAGTTCAGATGATATTAATTATTTTTTTTCGGGTTTGCCGGGTTCGTATTGCAGTATGCTAACCACTACGCTACCACTCCCCACACACATCAGCGTATGTCCACCAGCACGCATGATCACACACGTATCACATGTGTGATTGTCCAAATGTGTTTGTGTGAGCACATGAACACTGCCTTAGGGGGTCTCATGCTCCATTCCTTGCACTCGCAAATGATCCATTCCTCATGTTTACCAATATTCCTCATTTATATGTAAATAAGGTCATGATGTGTTGCGCACAACTGTTGATTGGGGAAAATGGAAAATGTTGACCCTGTGAAAGCACACGAGCAGTTGTCTGGAGGTGTGTTACACTCACCACCTGCATGAACTGACACACGCACTGTGCACCAAAAGCACACAAACACGGATTTAAACTGAACTGATCCCTGAACATTACTGGGGGGGAGCGGTGGCGCAGTGGGTTTGCACACTTTGCTATAACCCAGTGACATGAGCTTGATTCCTCGTGCGGCCTTACATCAGTGACGAGCGTAATATCTGAATTTGTCCTGGGCCCTCCCCCACAATCCTCCTCCCCATCCTCCTTTCACCAAACTCACACCGTCCAGCAGTGAATTGACAAAAGGTTGCTGAGGTTCATGTAATGTTTTTACTGTTAAAAATATTGTACGTGCATAAAGATGTTAAATATGCAGGAAAGACTCAAACCCTTTTCAGTTGAGTCATTAATTTTAATGTCTGGCCAATTCATGTTTAATAAGTGCTTTACATGTACGGTATAACCAAAAAATCACCAGTCTGTTTGACCGAGCATGAATACGTGTATATATATATACATATAGAGTGGAAATTAGATATTGTATTGGTGACTCACTCAAACCCTCCTGACTATGTTAGCAACATCTACACACCTTTGTTCTACACGTCCACATTTCCATGATCACTGGCAACAGAGATTGGTTGGCCAGGAACAACCCAGGATCAGCACCACATAGCAGACCCATGTTCCTTCTACGTCATGAGCCACACGGCTCATCCCTTTCACTCTCTTCCTCTCTATTATGGGAAAGTTGTTTTTAAAATGCAAAGTGTTTTTAAACATACAATTAATAGAGTCTTGGATGACGATACGAACCCAAGCTACAATGTCTTATTTTGTATTTTTTCTTCTTTCGTATGGCATTGTGAAAAGCAGCAGTTTAGATTTTTTCTCAATGACCATCATAAATGAATGCAAAGGTTCCTCATCCAGTCCAATGATTGTGTTGACGCAGTGTGGATTTCAGCGATACCGCCAGGATGTGCATGGATGGATCATTCATCGGTGATTGTGCTTGATGGTTTGGACCTTCTCCACAGTCGCAGTTGGGCGATTTTTGATCTTCCATTTATGGAATGTGTAAGCGCATCTGCCGTGTTGTGTCGAGCGCAGTTCAATGTGATTCATAGTCGTTGTGGAAGAGAGAATCCCGGTATTTTACCGCCGGATCGTAAATGATGTTTTTGTTTGCCACGTCCATCGCCGCCCATAATCAGACCACCAAGTGGCAGTGTCTCTAATGTTTGTAGCTGACGCTGAGTAGGGAGATAGGGTGGTTGTTTTGAGCATCTGATGCGTCCTTGCATGGTTTCAGAATAGCTATTATCCTTGCCTCTTTCCACTCCTTCAGAATGATGACTGTGGAATGGATGTCAGTTAAGAATGTGGCTAGCCAGTTTTTTTTGTTCTTGGTCCCAAGTTCTTTATGAATTCTGGATAAATATCGTCAATACCTGAGGTTTTCCCGCATTTCAACTGGGCAATACCGGCATCTACTTCCTCCACTGAGAACAGACGGGAGAGTTCAGAGGTTGCTTGGCAGTTATCTATTGTGCAATAAAGTTCTTTGTAGACTTGCCGTCTTGTGTTTTTGTCGATCGAAGGTCGTGAATTGTTGATAAGTTTCCTAGCAATCTCATCAGGACTGACTTGTGGAGGTTTGTAGGCTGGCGTCGCGGCAGCTCCCATCAACCTCAGGAGGCGCCAGGCTTTACGGCTCGATTTTGCAAAGTCAAGTGCCTCAACTGTTTCACGTCACCTTTCTCTTCTTTGCAAATTCAGTGACTCGAGTAAAGCTTTTGCAGTCTCCTGCTTCTTATCAGCATTGAATTTCCGGAAAAGTTGTTCGCTTTCTGGAGTCCAACATGGAGTGAAGACCTTTCTGAAGCCTCTTACGATGTTGGCCTTGGCAACTGCCTTGATGAGACCAACGAAGTGACGGTAGTTGACTGCACGTGGAGGTATCATTCCAACTGATTCTTCCAAGTCCGCAGTGAAATTCACCCATTCAGCTGATCTCAGATTCCGACGCGGTATTGGTGCGCAGCGGAAGAGTGAAATCTGAAGACCGATATGGATCACTACAGGTCTATGTTGGCTATTTGGAAAGTCGTCTAGGATTGTTCTCGTCGACGGCATCAGATTTCTCTTCTGCTCCCGAGACACAAAACATAAATCGGGCGTTTCACACTTTTTTCAGCTCGCTGACTTGAACGTATCGCGGTCTTTTAAGTGCTGGTCTTCTGCTGCTGCCCATGATGTCAGTTGTTCACCAGCTCTATCGTTGGCGCTATAGCCCCACAAGGTGAGGTGGCTGTTGAAGTCGCCTATGTGGATGATAGGGTGGCTTGGCTTCGGTAATGCCGGACACGACCATTCCATACCTGGAGGCTTGTAGACGTTGACCACTGTCACGTTGTTGATCTCGATGGCGATGTAGTGTGGCGAGGTGTGTGGCACGACCTGGACCGTGTCCTTCAGGTCGTTCTTTACGTATGTGGCAAGGCCGTGTTTCGGATGGTGGCTTGCAGCAATGAGAGTGTATCCGATTATCTTTGACCGAGGGCACTGTCGATCCAGATGCGTTTCTTCCAGTGCAAAGACGTCGACCTCTTGAAACTGGAGAATCTTCGCAATGTAATCGCATTTCGCACTGGAGGGGCCCTCGACGTTAAGCTGCATGATTCGCAGCGATGGGACGACATTCACATTGCTCTGACCTTGTGAAATGCTCTCTGTGCTGTTGCTTTTCAGGCCGGGATACCATTGTCGGGCATTCGGCCGCCGGTGTGATGACATTTGTTGTGCTTTCGCGAGCAGGTTGTCATCTTCTTCCCCATTTTAAACTAAAACTAAATTCAACTTTTTTTTATTTTACCAGGTAAGGTCCACTGAGCTATATTGCTATTTTTCAGAAGCAACCTGGCCACAAACAATAGCTCATTGAAGTGGCTTATCATGTGGATATGTATCGCAGCCAAATACTCTTAAACGCACATTTCTAAATGTGGAGAGAAAACCGGAGGACCAGGTGAAAAATCAACGCGTTCTCAGGCAGAACATCCAAATATACAGGCGTCAGGGTTGGGATTGAACCCACGACTTTCTTTACACCAGGCAAGGTAGTTAATATCTCACCACCGTGGAACCCTCAAAACAACAATAGAGCCCCGAAGTTGAAACAAGCAAAGTTTACTGTTGGCTGCGCATCCTGTTTCCACATTGATCCCACGATGTCATGACTGGTTTTGAGCTTTGCCCAGATAAAATGAGCCCACTGGTGTTTAGTCTCTCAGCCTGGTTTGCCAGGGAGGACGGCATGTTTCCCTGTGGTCATGAAAACACGGCAGGGGCTGAGCTGGAACTTGAATTTATTCCAAGTAGCTGATGTCATCCTCGATGACCATACTCATCACTGGGCAGATTGCCCTCTACACACATGGCAATACACTCTCCTTATACACAGGCACACAAAGATGTGCTACAATGCCGTGACAAGCACATATGTTCAAGCACATTATCACAAGCACATCAGAACCAGCATGAATAAACAAGCACATGTAACGAACTACAATAAATCACATATGCTTGTTGAGCACTGTTTTTCATCTCATGTTAGTCCATTCTAACGTGGATGATATAGTTGTGTCGATTGGGAAAGAGGAAAATGACGTTTGCTGTTCATTTATTTCCACTGGTTTTGAATGGAAAAAGGTGGCATCATAAATTATATCCAGAAGGAACATTGTTTGTAATGCAGAGGAATGCAGAATCATCGAATTGCACGCACATTTGTGAGCGAGTGCATGATAGGTTCACTGCACAGGCTTGATTAAGCACACAGAGATAGGAATCAGGAATACCGGCACATGTTTATGTGGTGAGAACTGCAAAGAGACATCGCCTTCCCTGAGGAATTTCTCTTGAGACGAGAAAAAACCCCAATGTATGTCTTAAATACCATCGTATTATTTAAATTGCAAACAAAAACCGTTAATATTCCACTGTTAATTAAGTCCACTGCGGATTACCTGAAAGACAAAACACTTATGCACGACCATTTGCAGTTGAATTTCGGTGCCAAGAAAGCTTATACAATTATTCCGAGCATTG